GCCTTCTCCTAAGTTCCACTGATGATAATTCCGTAGATTTTCACAGAACAGGTTTCGTCTGCAATTGTATCGCATACCCCATGATATTCACTGTTTCATATAAACCACGAACGTATTTGGTACTCGGTACTACTTCTCCGGAGGCCCTTCTGTGATCATTCAGTCAGTTACTTGAGAGCACAATTTACCGTAGGTGTTACGTGAGTCCCACATGCCGAAAAGTATTTCCATGTAAAGGGCGGTACCACTTACGCTCGTCGATCCAAGGCCTGGTCTGAGCATTGCAAAATCCGACGTTGTTCAACAACGGATACAGTGAGATTCTCCAGGACTCGGGAACCGTTTTCAACGGTAAAACCACATTTTCTGTTGATAGCACCCTGTTACCAGCAAACTGAAGCTTCGCTTAACGCACATCATTACTTATTCCTGCAAAAAATCGGTGAACGAATATTTCCATGTATTCTATATTTTCTATACTATAAGCCAGCACTGAAAAATGGTCATTCCATTTAAACACCCACCGGTCCAATATTCTGAACAGCATTAGATACGCCTCACGCAATCGATGCAGATGAGGACTGTTTATTGAGATACCACGTCGAACTCCAAATCAAACCTTCTAATTTGGTGAACACCGTTACCATAAAACTGTCACAACTCCATCAGTTAGCGGAAACTATTCGGTCCTCATGAATCGAACAACTGGATGCAGACAGGATCAAACGAAGTATAGAAATAGTTCTGTTGAAATCTCGTTTTGCCCTACAGTCTCCATCATTTCTGTCCCCTAATCTTTTCCCGTTTCCAGTCGGCTGGCCTAGGCACCGCACTTATTTTTGCCAGTCCATACGGATTTGTGTGCCTGACAGCAACGGGATTGGGTCAATAGTTCATTTCAATGTTGGACCCAACACTGAATATTATTTTCCTTATTAGGAACTGATCATATGTGAACACAGCACAGTTACCTATGTGGTGACTGGTATCTACTATATATTGCTTCAGACTCTTCATTTTAGTTCACGGAGGGCATAGCAACACTGCATCGGCTATTCGTGATTCGTTCAAATCAATACACTGGAAATGAATTACAAAAGTAGTGGAAAAGCGACGACTTGCAGTTCAGTACTTCAGATCTGACTTCAAACGTGAGTGCGTGCATGATATAGATTACAATCGCCCAATTTCAAGTGGTTGCCAAATTGTTGAGGAAAATCAAGAGAGTTTCAGCGTTTGCATATATTGTTACTAAGCCCTCAGAGGAGCGTTTTGTTTAAAAAAGAAACACGGAACAGCCAAGATGTTCTTCGCCATTTCCCGTGGTGATCCAACGTGAAAAGATCGGTGCTATCGGTGCGGCCTTGCAGCCCAGCTGGTTAAACGTGTACTGTAATAAATCATAGGCGGCGTTCATGTGTGTTCGACCAACCTCCCCCAATGTACTGAATTCTTCAAAAATTCAAACGTGAAACTTCATTCTGCCAAACATCGATTGGAGTGTTGTCTGACAAAAAACGGTCACTGAGAACAGTCTATCGACCGTACATTGCAAAAAAGGACCAAATATGAATTGCTTACGCGTTGATCTCAGCGATCACGACTGCAACCCATCCTTCTCCTCTGGTATTGCTAATTATGTTAAAACAACGATAATACTAATAGTGCTACGTTTTGGTATGTTTTTGACTAACTGAACCAACGGACCAATGCGCAACATGATCATACTTGACACTTGGTTAAGTCCGATTCATATCGGATGGCTGCGCGATGAAATCTAAATCCACAAAACTCATTAGGGTGGATTTTATTTTACCATACTTGAAACTTTTTAGACGCGTGTACTATGCAGCACTATTCTGTTTAAAAGTATGAAGCACGATCGTACACATCATCGTACAGCGAGCTTAACTGATCGCTGCCAAGTTCACAATGTACACAAATCAAGTGATAAAGCACAAGATGGAGGGATTGGACATGCTTGGAGGGAGGCAAAGAAAAAGAACACAAATGACACAATCTAAGCGTTCATGCATAGCTTTTTCAAGCATTCTGCCTTGTTAAGAAATGACAACAAGAGCGCCACTGCTGTCGGTCAGTCGTTATATCATTTAATATCTCCATCCAACCAGTTATAGAGTCTTTCGGACCCCAATCTGGAAGACGGGAGACACCGATTCTACCTAATCGCTCCGTGCATTTCTTCATGCCTCGCTTCCACGTCATCTGTTGACCACCACGCGGTTTCTTCCAGCCGAGAGCCGCAACTGCGAATAAGGTGCGGTGCGGCAGACGATGGCTGGGCAAGCT